TTTAAAAAAAAACGCATTACGCACTTATTTTTCAACTACAAACAAAAATTTTAAAACCACAATCAATTACAAACGATTCTGGACCAGAATTCATTAAAATTGAAGCTGTAGCTGTTAAAAACTTCATATAAGTTAAAAAAAACGCAGTACGCACTTATTTTTCACCAAAAAAAAAATGTAAAACTATCATTAACTACAAACGATTTTGGACCAGAATTCATTAAAATTGAAGCTGTAACTGTAAAAAGCTTCATATTAATTTAAAAAAAAAACGCATTACGCACTTATTTTTCAACTAAAAAAAAAGTTGTAAAACTACAATCAACTACAAACGATTCTGGACCGGAATTTATTAAAATTTAGGCGGTAGCTGTAAAAAGCTTCATATAAATTAAAAAAAAAAACGCGTTACGCACTTATTTTTCAAAAAAAAAAAATTTAAACTACAATCAACTACAAACGGTTCTGGACCTGAAATCATTAAAATTGAAACCGAGCTGTAAAAAGCGTCATATGATTTTTAAAAAAAACGCATTACGCACTTATTTTTCAACTAAAAAAAAATTTTAAAACTACAATCAATTGCAAAGGATGCTGGGCCAGAATTCATTAAAATTTAGGCGGTAGCTGTAAAAAGCTACATATAAATTTAAAAAATAAAACGCGCTACGCACTTATTTTTCAACTACAAACAAAAATTTTAAAACTACAATCAATTGCAAAGGATGCTGGGCCAGAATTCATTAAAATTTAGGCGGTAGCTGTAAAAAGCTACATATAAATTTAAAAAATAAAACGCGCTACGCACTTATTTTTCAACTAAAAAAAAATTTTAAAACTACAATCAACTACAAACGATTCTGGATCATAATTGATTAAAATTGAAGCTGTAGCTGATAAAAGCTTCATATAAATAAAAAAAAACTTTACGCACTTATTTTTCAACTAAAAAAAAATTTTAAAACTACAATCAACTACAAACGATTCTGGATCATAATTGATTAAAATTGAAGCTGTAGCTGATAAAAGCTTCATATAAATAAAAAAAAACTTTACGCACTTATTTTTCAACTAAAAAAAATTTTAAAACTACAATTAACTACAAACGATGCTGGACCAGAACTCATTAAAATTTAGGCGGTAGCTGTAAAAAGCTTCATATAAATTTAAAAAAACGCACTACGCTCTTATTTTTCAACTAAAGAAAATTAATTTTAAACTACAATCAATTACAAATGATTCTGGACCTGAATTCATTAAAATTGAAGCTGTAGCTGTAAAAAGCTTCATATAAATTTAAAAAAACGCACTACGCTCTTATTTTTCAACTAAAAAAAATTAATTTTAAACTACAATCAATTACAAATGATTCTGGACCTGAATTCATTAAAATTGAAGCTGTAGCTGTA